TAAAAAGGTCACAGAATGGTTCAGACAGAGACCATCTGTGAGATAATGACGTAGATGGGAAAATAATATTAAAATGTAATTTTAATAAATAGGATGTGAGAACGTTGACTGGACTAAACCTTTTAAAGCTTTTAGACAAGAACACTGTTTCATGGGAAATGATGGGCCCAAAGCTGACAGAACTGCGATGGACACTCGCGACTGGCGAACACATTAAACAAATAAAAGCTAAGACCTAAAAATTAGGCTCTAAATAGATCTACATTTTGGTAGTGTTATTTATTCAGAAATAGGGATCATCGTCGGAACTTTATTTGTCGTAGAAATCTTATGGAAACGTGTGCATTGCATAACAAAACACATTCTGTCCTTTATGCTGTGGAATTCTAGGAGTCACTAACATATACCAAATTATATATTTTTTTAAATTCATGACTTTAAAAAATTAGGGCATTATGAAAAATGCAACAGGCAATGAATTTTGTTCTTGAAATGTATTCGTCAGTAAGAACAAGAAGATGAACATTTTAAATATGTCTGCAAAGAAAGACATGAAATTATACGAGTAGAAAACGCAGATAGGCCTAGCATAAAACTATATACCACACATCCAAGAACGAACGGAGACAGGTGCTCAGACCATCAAGTCTCGAAACAGTCATTGCCGCTTGGTTTCACGATTATCTAAAATCGACCATAACTTTCATGTGGTCCATTTGTTTATAGATAACATAAAAATTCTGTGAAATCGAAACATTTACGTCTATATCAATTATTTATTTTAATCCGTCTGATCACAATATAATTTTATTTAAAATTTCTTATAATTAAGATAATAAAATTTCGATCAATCGATATGGAACATGAATGATATTTTATTATCTTAATTATAAGAAATTTTAAATAAAATTATATTGTGATCAGACGGATTAAAATAAATAATTGATATAATATTCACAATATGACGCAATTACACTATCTTATTTACGTCTAATAACATCGTATTTGGCTCACATTTTCTACAAAGACTAAGTTCATTAGGCCTCAACTTCGATCCCGTACAGAGAAATCAGATTAAGGCCCTTGCTGCCTCCACCATCAGGGCGCCCTGATGATGGAGGCAGCGAAGACCTCAGAAACGTCGGTAAACTTCTATCAGAATACACGAATCAACAACCCAGAAGACAGAAATCTTCAGACTCATCGCCGTGAAAACTGATGTCGTGGTTTGCCAACATTCGAAATAATGACACTGCTCTATAATGTTGTTATGGCCTCAATATCATCTCCATGAGAATTACTATGAGGGCTCTTAAAATGACATTCATTCGCGGCGCTGGTAGCGAATACAGCTGGTTCCAGATTATCACGTGTGTGTGCTTCCGTGCAGAATCCGTCCAGACAGAACCAACGAGTTGCCTTGGGTTGTTAACCAACGCGGAAGGCAAGGAACGATGAGACTGAGACTCGGTGCCACCATTTTCAACGCAGGGGAGACTCTCGTCCTCTTCCCGACCTACGACAATGAAGTCCCAACCATCTGCAAACAGAACATTCAGGCCCTCCATGTAGGCTACTCAAGCACCGATCGCGTGTGGCTCAGTCTCGATTTATACACGAAGTGTAGCCCAGGATGTTCTGATTTCGATAAATTTTCAATTTCAAATGCATGCCAAATAGCTGACAGACAGGTGGAAGTAAGTCGAATGCCCTGAGAATCCCAATGGATCAAATTTCGTGGGCAAAGACTCTGAAACAACAGGCGGAGGGGATGAAGTCCCAGGGATCAAGCATTTTAGTTAAAACCTTAGTTGGTAAAACGTCAGAACATGGCAAGCCCAGAGGTATCTCCGAGGTGTGGAAGCCCCGGACGTGGCCCAGTTCCGAGGGCAGGCCCGGAGTTGGTAGATGGCAAATCCTGGTGTCAACGCTCACAGCTAGGGCAGAGCCATGGAATTTGAAAGTCCGTAGGTGAGGCAACCCCGAGAGACCATACCGCGAGAAGTAATTATGGCGGAAAAGCTGGTGAAGGAGATCCCAGGGCGGTGGAACTTGGCAAGGTCCATGTCGTGCCATTCTACGACGACTCCTGTGGGCAACACCCAGAGGTGTTGAAGGCACATGGATCAAAGGCCTTGGGACAGACCCCCGGGATGGAAGATCCTGTAGATAAGACCCCTTAGAGTTCAAACCGGGTTGGGCGGAGGGGAAACATCCCCGTCGGAGCAAATCCGGGAGGGGGGTAAGAACCCTGGAAGATCTTGGGATAGCTTCGACACTTGGGGAAGCCCTAGGAGTTGCGAAGATGGCGAATTTTCTGGGGGATAGCTGAACGGCACGACAGACAGACAGACTTAAGTGATGGGTGATTAGGTTTACTTCGCAAAAGTGAAGACAGTGTCTATGCCCAAGAGGGCCAGTGGCCTCAAGTACTGGACTGCGAGAATTCTAAAAATATTCTTGTACCCATCAAAATTCATGCTCCAAGGCCACGGAAGGACTTCATTCCCATTACAACGCTGCTTCATGTCACAATTAGAGTGTTACTAGTTCTGATACTCTGCGAGATCGGAGCTGTCTTTACTCGACGGTTCAATTCGCAAATTTGATCAATTTTACCGTGACCTGGTAGAATGCAATTTGATGATGGCAACAAATTGCTTTCAATATCTTACAACACGAATACTGAACTGGGTTTGGCGTGCACAATGGCTTACATGAAGGACAATTTCGTAAAAGAACAAGTGGATTCGCCTGGAAAGTGAGAGATTTGTTTGTATACGAGGTGCGATCGGAAAGTTTCAAGACTGTGTCAATAGAGGGCGAACCGGATGTAGTACGAGCTTCTGCCGCTAGGGGGTGCGGCCTACATTCATAGTGAATCAGTGTGCCAGCCGGCATCATCGAATTAGCATTTGTTTCTTAGTTACGGGCGTTTTGGTAGTGCATTACACCGACCCTCCTGCGATTTCGGAATGGCGGATTTTCATGAACAAA